CTTAAAAAACAGTGCTCACATGCTAATGTCAGAGGTTTAATCTTGAAAGAGCTGGGTTTGGACCTTCTCACAGCGAAATTATGATATTATACCGGTAATTAAAAAAATGACAATGCACTAAGTATACCAGTAAAAAATTAATTCATACACTCAGTACTGGATACAAGAAACACATCAGTAACATTCACCTAAATCACGCAGAGAACCTGCCAGAACAACTGAAAAGAGCTAAAGTAGCCAAAACAAAATTTACCCCAAAAAAGTTTAAAAACCAGTCATTCACTGAAATGTTCTGTTAATTTCACTCTATTAAAATAATTGAGCACAATGTGTATTGAAATCATTCGAATTTTACGGGATGCCATACCAAAAACCATTTAACGACAGTTAAAAACTAGTAGTTTACACAGTGGCAGACCATTCAGCATTTAAACACACAAACTCGTACAAAGGTTGGCTGAAATTTACCAGAAACATTATTGTATGAATCCATACAATATACAAAAATTAAACAAAATGAGGGAACATGTACATGTCGCGGCAAAAAAGAATATTATGTATAATTTGCATACTATTTAAGAGGCTATTTAAATTTGGAATAGCACTATTTTGTGAATCTGCTTGTATTACAATACAGTGAGCTTCTGGTTGTCTCTCAAGTTATATTGGACCTGATCCCCACGTTGTTAATGCATATCTTTTTGACGCTGTTGTAGGGTACTTACATGTACGGTCAATGTACCGCTACATGTACATGTCTATTGACTGCCAGTATATCCAGCGCCTCTTGGTATGACTTGTAGGAGCCTAGGATAATTCCAAGGGCACGCTTCTGGACTGGCTCTTTCCAACAGATCAACTTGTTTTTGTTGTTAGCCCTGTGCTTCCATTCTGGCACAGCATATTCTAACAAGGACCACACATGCATGTACATTGTATCCTAAATAAATGGTCACATGATCAGATGTGGATAGATTAAAAACTTGTTTAGCACCTTCAATGGTATAATTTGGAGTTGGCTTTACAGATTAACTCAGAGATATGACTATTCCATTTTATTTCACAGCTCACCTGAATGCCTAAGATTCTTACATGTTTCAACAGCTTGCATTTGCTGTGGGCAAATCTACAAAGGAATTCATGTTAAGGGAGACTTCAGAAAACATACTTGCATAACTGCACATTTCTCCGTGTTAAGGTTCATGTTGTTACCTCTGGACCGATCTGTAAAATCACTCAGTATTTAACAGTGTGGACTGCATAGTGCTATCCTCATTAACTACACCAGTCTCAATAAGCCTTTTGCGAGTTAACTTTGACCCAAATCTGGTACACTGAGTTCTTTAAATTCACGTGAACATAACAACTTGAATTCTCCTTACGAAAACCACTGTTGCTATACCTCTTGATTCGGGGCAAGCTTTTGCTTAGTTAATACATAAGAGATGCCTTGTAACAATACACTGTTCTAAATGGTTAAGAAGGGCACAAAGGAACCAGTCCATTCCGGAGACTGAAACTGTTACGAGAATCAACATGTGCAACAGGGTATTCATTAGTTTGAATAGTGTACGTGATGTTATCTTCAAACACCCTTAGGATCACCAAAACTGAACCACAGAGCCCTCTTCTGGTCACTTGCATGCAGTCAGTCACTCAGTGCGCATAGACCTGCACAAGTCATTGCATCACCAATCCACAGGTGTACCTGCTATGATGATTTTACTCTGTGATACTTCCTTCAAACAAGCTCTAAAAACATGACTTACATGTACACAGCACTACCCAATTCCCATGTAATACTGTCTAGTTCTAATGTACAATGTACATGTACATGTACACTGTACATGTATGTTGGTACCAAGAGCACATGAGCAGCTGTGGCAGTCAAAACTAATAGGAAATTCAATGCAAATGTTCTAGTACGACATGAGCAATTGTACAAACAATCCATGTGCCGTTCAAAAGCCATTTGAAAAGCTGCCATAACTGCCATGTTGTATGAAGCTATACATGTACAATGTATTTACACTGTCACAGCTGATTTTACCAAAATGCAATGAGGGACTGATAACGTGAATGGGTCAGTTTTAAACATGCTGGTACTTGTTTAAAATGAGCCGATCACATTTTTATTCTCATTGAGTGAAAAATTTAAATACATGTAAAGTCAAAAATTATATTTTTCTGACGATTTTGTAGACAAATTTTATAGTACAACAAATTTTTTACAGGGTTGCTACAATTAATTTGTTTCAAAACAAACCTTCAAAATGCACCTTTGTGACTCAGTTAACCTTACAATTTCAAACTTTTGTTTCCCTGTTTCAAAGGGTATTTTACTGCCTTTTTAGTTTATGCTTATGAATATGCGGGTACATGTACATGTAGTTCTATGTATGTGCAAAACTGTGATGTCATCCATTATCTAGCCATTAACAAATTACATCAAACTGGAGTAACAGCTTCGCTTCAATAGGAAACACTGCCACCTAAAAATGGCATTTTTGGTAAAATTTGTTCCGAGTTTCAGGTGCCATTTCGTTTCTTTTTTTGGGTGGAATGATGTTGCACCGTGTCTCTTCCACAAATGCCTTCATCTTGACGTCTTGCAGACTGTCTGTGTTACAAACAATCATATGGAAGCCAGGCTTAAGGCAGGCGTGGGAGGGAGAACACATACCGATATTTACTCTATGGAGGCAATAAAAGAGCAGTCTGTAAATCAGAAAACTTCACAGCCCTCTGTCATAGAAAGTGTACATGTACATATAGTGCAATTCGACCACCAGAATTAGAAGCCATTACTGCGGTGGCACAGCGCTCACGGACAGGTGGTACGTGCGCGCTACATGCCTCTTCGACCAACAGGGTGTCGTGATTTGCCAAATGCACGGCGCGAGTCAAGCTGAAGAATGTGCGTGTGGGTGCAGTGCCACCGCAGTTAGGGCGTCTAATCAGATCGGATTAGTCTAAACATGTACCGGTACATGTACATGTACATGTACATGTATGCAAGTGCACTAATGTCAAATTCTTAAAATGAAATATATGTACATGTAGATGACACATCTTGCCTGTAGTACACTCCTAAGTTTTTCTTTCCATGCTTGTATTTACGATGTATATGTACCGGTACATGTAATCGCCATCTTTACCTAAAGTTACCTTTTCCTGGTACATGTACATGGTACATGTACTCTATGGAAAGCTTTATGCAACAACACCCAATACCAGAATACAGCTGAAAATGAGACAGCAGGTGGGTGTAATGCTACGCAACCAAGTGAAACACAATGTAAAAGAGAAAAGACAGCTGGCACTATGATGTGAAGTGCATAAATAATACCGTGACACATGCTTTTATGCCCTCAGCAGGGTAAGGGTTAAGCAATAATGCATCATTTGTGAAGGCATACAGTACAGGAAATAATGAAAGAAAGTACAGGTGTGCAGATCAAGTATTTTAAGCAAATGGCACATTTGTACAGAGTACGAACCCCAACCGTAAAATGTACAGGTGTATGGCACAGAAAATGTGCCAGGACAACCAATTTTCATCAACAGCATCAATGGTTGGTTTCCTCATGATCACTGTTTCCTTCTACTGGTTGGGAGGGGCACTTGATCACAGATTGAACAGAATGTTTGTAACTTAGGGAGTACTCAGTCAATCTCCACAAGTATGTACATAGTATACATTAACTGAGACATCAGCTGCATTCCTTATTCACACTAGGGAGGTTCCTGATTCTCTGAAATAATTGTATACCTTTGCACAATACAGAAGACACTCATGGCATCCTGTGATTGACAGGTACACTGTACTGTACATGTAGTGAACTTCATATTACTGAAAAAGTCATTCTATTAAATGGAGATTCTTTGATTTTCAACTTTTGCTCGAACATGGTTCATGTGCACACACAGGTCTTTTCGCACATAGACAATAATGTCGGTACGGTAGCATCTTCAAGCCGAAGAACCCCTTCATCGGTTGAAAAGAGCCATGAATATCTGTTGGGATGGTTCATTTTGTTGGTAGTGATACAACCATAACGCCTGCATTTCACAGTTATTCATGAACCAGCGGAGTGTAGTTATGACCAAAGGAGCCCCTGTTGCTAAAAACCACACCCTCTCTTGGTCCAGCTCAAGGCTCACAACAACAAACACAACACATCATTCCCTCCTCTAACAGATGAAGAAATTTCCTGATCTCATCGGTACTGACGAGGCTTCTAATGGAAAGAAATTAAGTGTGTTGTCAAATGATCAGAGCATGCTGAAAACAACACAGGAATGTGTATCTTGCAAGTGTGGTGACAAATTGAATGTTCTACACTGTACATACACTGTGTTCCACTCAGCTTTGCCAAGTACTGGTTAGAAGCCAGCAGATACCGGTAATCTTGCCTATTCTTGTGATCCGAAGTTGTTCCATTTATTGCACTCACGTCTGGGCATGGGCAACTCTCCATTCACTTTGTACAGGGATTTGCATGTTTTCCCTCCTTTTTTAGGGCAACCTGATAAAAGCAACTGAAACCTTTTCGGTACAGTGTGCAAGATATTCATGGCACATAAACAGTGAAATTTCGGGCATATGTGATGTACCCGGTAAAGGTTAAAAGTTTAGTCAATGACTCAGATTTTCCCCATTCACCGCAACACCATTTTTGCTCCTTTGAGTTTTGAGTGTAAAATATGAATAGCCACCAACTGACCAACCAGAGAGAAGAATCAAGACTCAGTAATGCCATCCCAACCACAAGAATTGAAATGTACACCATACCGTATGGTATCAACTTGGCAAGCTCACATAATAACCTAATGAACACATCCATTGGAATGAGCCAGTTGGGTATTCCCTGAATGATATTAGACACACTTAGGGCCACATGAGAACTGTTGGAATGCAGAGCACTGGCTTACTGGCAGTTTGCCACTCAAATGAATCATAAATCAACTGGCTGCTCAGCCGCCATTGCATCTCCTACCTGATCACTATCTGCCTTAACAAGTAAGGGGCACTACCAGTATTTCTGCTCACTGCCTGGCTCAGGCTGTCTACTCTCCCTAGAGCACTGTCAATCCTCACCAGGGCAGGTAATATACTTAGCTCCGTCCACCGCAAATTCGCCCAGCGTTCCTCCAGCTGGTTTCCCTCCTTGCTGGGTCTTGATATTATGGGCTACATGTAAGTACCAGTAATCAGCTCACTTCTATGTACATGTAAGTGGGCACATCAGTCCGTCATCGGAAGCCTTCCCATGCCTATGGCATGCAAAAGTCAAGGCGTAATGCCTGCCACAATCTCTGCATGCATACAATTTAATAGCTTTCTGCTCAGTCATCATAGGTGACTATCTGCAAGACAGAAGTCGACTTGTAATGTATGGTAGGTCTCGCTGGGCCTGGGGTCTACAACCTGCTCTGCCACAGCAGATACATGTACTGGGTGTGCTTGCATTTTCAGAGATGTGAGCCATTCCACCTACCGACGTGAGGTTGTCATCGGTGGGGCTGCTTAAGTTCAAGGTGGGGCTGCCTAAACTGGGGGCAGGGCTGCTGACCTCAGGGGCCTGGGCTACCGGTACCAGCCACTTTTGTCAACTTTACAGCGACACGCAGACGGACGAATGAACAACCAACAAAAGTCCATACGTGTAGGCCTACCGGTACTGCTAAGCTTTGCAAGGGTAGCTATAACAAACCAATGTCCAGTGATTTTCTTGTGACACTTCCAGAGATAATACACTTGGAGCTCTTTGGGTATGATGGCTCACAGTAGCAGGTAATAAATGGGTTCACCCTCTTTCACACATATAAAACTCCATGCTCCGCCATCAGTCACTCAAAATGAGCCCACCAGAACTGGAAAACTGCACTTGTAGCACTGCAGCTTCTTGCACCGACGGAAGGGTTTCCCCAACCGGTTCTGGAACTCCTTGCACTGATAGCAAGGCCGTCTGTCAGGTGATGGGACTACACCTGTGCCGCTGGCAATATTACCTGTGCCGGTGACAGGACTACCTGCACTGGCAGCAAGGCTGTCCATGCCAACAGCAAGATGGCCTGCCCTGACAACAAGGCTACCTGTGCCTCCTTCTTCGGTGCAAAGGGGCCACTGAATACTCACAGCTGGACTTGGGGCCCAAAGAATAGGGTTAACTTATTAAATGGTACCTGGCAGTCCTTATAAACAGGGGACACTGGGCTCAAATATGGTCTGGACTCCTGCATTGCTAGCATCCTGATTTCCAGTCATCCAATTGCTCTTTGGCCACAACGCTGCAGTTCTAACAGTTCTCATGGCATCGTTACCTGATCAGTTGGCACGGAGTCCAGAGAATTCTCTTTTCTGGACTTAGGAATCACTGCCTGCATCATGCCTCAGCCTCTGCTACGATCTCCACTGCTTCATCCTACATCCACAGAATTCCTTGAAACAGGGCACATCTTGCTTCAGTGAAAGGTCATCCAGTGCATTCTTGAGCATTTCAATAGTGAAGGCCTCCTAGAATTTTGACCCACAATCAGGGAATGTGCAATGGAAGGGTTTTCGGATAGCTTGGCAAAGTTCAGCAACAGTTTCACCTGCGCACCTCCTTCTTGATATAATCTCAGCACACTGACAGATTGCTGACCCTTGGTGTCCCAAGTTCCAGTTTACCAGTTCACCACAGGACGAATGCATCATTTGCAACCTCTGGTAAAGGCTCTTTCAACTTTACCAGCAGGTAGCTGGCTTGCTGTTTGTCATTCAAGCACCCAGATCACATTGTACATGTACCAGTACCAGGTATGGCAGGTAAGCTCAATACATGGCCAACTGGTACCATTCCTTTTTACACGGGTAGCTCCATGACTGTACTTCCAATTAAGCCTGGAGGAGTGGAGCTGCTCATGCTAGTATTTCATGCTAGCATACTGTTCACCTGCATTTGCAACACTGAATCTGCTAACAGCGGAGTCAGTGTGCACTACCTGTGTGACAAGGCTTGCGACCACTGTGTGCGACTGTAAGACAGGTTGGAGATAAACAACAACCCAACAACAGGGGGGTGCTTGCATTCGCTGTCTGACTCATTGCAAACAGCCCACCACTGTGCCTGGAGATCATGTGTGCACCTTCTCTGTGGTCTCTGTAAACTGCTTGATATGCCTATTGGAGTCATTCTTCGGTTACAGATTTGATATTTCATTGAACAATGAAGTGCCCTTTAGGTCTGGACAGGGGTGATTACTTGTGCTTGTACATGCCTTGGCACTGGTCCAAAAGGGACTGTTCCAGAATGCATCGATTGAGCCCAATATTTTCACGTACCCAGTACATGTACATGTACCATTATGTATTTTTATCTCTCCATGCTCTGCATGATGAATGATACATTTACGAAAAGCATGTGGTAAGAATTCACGGAAGATCAACTGCGAACATGCAATGTCCCATGTACTGCATTACAGAGTGGGTGATTCAAGAAAATCCTTAGTACAGGTACAGTATAAGTCAATTAAGCTTAAAGTTTGTATATAGACCAATATTATGCATTTGCCAATCATCCTACAGCCAAGCCCTAGCATTCTGTAATAAGCCCATGATGTCATCAAAGTGGTAAGTCAAACTGCCAAACTTTGTAAGCTTGTAAGGTTGTGCCTTTAGTCCAACCCGTGGCTTTACAGCATACATGTTGCGGCATAACACACACAACTTAAGTGTGGTTGCCTTTTGTTAAATTAGGATTAGTTCATAAGTACTGAACAATTATTTTGAAACTGGTTAAGTGTCATAGGCCTACAGATAACATGTTTAAAATGCACTCTTTACTTCATGAATACCAGTTTTGCCAGTTTAGACAGTTTCAGACAGCTTTGCCACTCCCACTGGTTGAGATCCTGTTACAAAGCTGTTCTTAGTACCGGTAAGTTGACTGAGCACCAGCTGGCTGTGTGCCACCTTACACAGGACGTGCCACATGCGCACCAATCTTGAGGCTGCTCATGAGAGGAACATACATGTACATGTATACCACAGATTGGCTAGAGGAGTGTTTGAAAAAGATGAAGTAAAATTTTTGAATAAAATCTTTGGAAATTTGTAAGTTTTGAACTTGTTTTGACTGCCTGACTCAAAAGGTATTAACCCTAACCCCTAGGCTCCTGCACCAGAAAGCATACTGAACCTCACAAAATCCAACAGGTTCATGTACTTGTCTATGTACTTGTACATGCAGGGTAGTGTACCAAACCTGATAAACTCAAACAGAATGAG